CCCCAAAACCAAACCAATCCAAAAATCTAGCTTAGGGGTCACCGCACCCTTGGGTGAAGCCTGTTTTGGGTCCCTTCTGAGCGAATACATCACGCCCGGTCAGTCCCAAAGCGCACGTTATTGCGCGTATCACGTGCTCCCTCTGGCGGCGAGGGGCAGAACTTCACCTCCGGCTCCCGGGCACAGGCCAGGGCAGGCAGGACTGAACGCTAAAGGGTGTCCCAAAATTCACGCAAGATTTGAATTTTGCGTGAGCTTTAACAACAACAACAACAACAACAAATAAAAGCCTAATTGTACTGGGTTTATTGAATCAGATTCTAATATCCGTTGCCCTTTGATTTCAATCCCTTCGATTTGATAAGCATCACCAAGTACCAATGATGGCCCAGGAGCAGGGACAATGAAGACCAATGAAGACCGCGGCTTTGCGTCTGTGCCAGCAAAGCCGTGGAGGCCATTGACCCGCTGTGCTATTCCATACATAACCCTAGACTGTGTACTTTATGAATCAATAAAAAATTTACAATTTTTAATCATAAACCTGTGTTTTCTATCAAAATTACTTCTTGCGTGAATTTTGGGACACCCTTTACAAGCGATTCCATGCAATTTCCTTACGAATATTTCCCTAACTGGTCATCTCAGGGGCATTTTGTTACCCAGGAGGCCACACCCCCCAGAGCTCGCTGCTGCGGCCAGTCCCACACTCAGTGACCCGTTACTGGCCCTCGTGGACAGAATGAAAAGCCAGACTGGAATCAGGATGATAATAATAATCTACTGAAAACATGGACTAGAGACCTTTGATTGTTGGCCACAGCGATCAATAGTAACCGTATTCGAGAGTAAACTAAAATGAAAAGCACGTATTCACTAATTCACGCCCTGGCCGGCGTGGCTCAGGTGGCTGGAGCATCGTCCCAGGCACCCAAAAGGTTGCGGGTTTGATTCCTGGTCAGGGCACATCCCTAAGTTGCGGGAGAGCCACTTGGGAACTTGTGAGAAATGCAACTTTCTGGGCTCCCTCCCGGACCTGCCAAACCAGACGCCCTGGGGTGGGGCCCCGCGTGAGTGTAGCCCCAGCCCTGTGGGGGTTCTGACGCATCCAACAGGCTGAAACCCACGGGGCCAGCAGAGGCCTGCCCTGCCCCCACCGGGCTGAGTCCTGAGGGGCCGACAGAGGACGGAAGCCCCGTCGCCTTCCCCCAGACCGGTTTCCACCTGAGGAGAGGGGACAGCAGGCCTAGAACCAGGGGGCGGCACAGACAGAAAGTCCTGTGGCAGGAGAGACAAGCGGACAGAGTCTGGGAAGGCTTCCTGGAGGAGGTGGCTTCCAGCAGCGCCCAGGGGGCTGGGTAGGATGGAGGGAGAAACCTTCCCGCTGTGGAGACCTGCAAGCTCCAGGGTGCAGACGTGGAGCCCGGGATGGGCTGGGAGGCGGCAGCCAGGCGGGTGCAGGGTGGAGGTTCGGGCAAGCTGGGAGCTGGCAGGAGAGACCTGGGTGGGGTGGGGGAGGGGCCGGGGAGGCGGGATTGGGAGAGAATCAGACGGGTTCCCAGTCCCCGCCTCGCTGCCTGCTCACGTGCTGTGCTCTAGGGTGG